TTTCATCCTGAAGAATTATAGGAATAGTTGTATTTCTACCACTACATAGGACTTTGAGGAAATGCATCTCTTTTTGGTAGCCTTGCTTGCCTGAAAAGATCAAAAAAGGTATTTGCCTGCTTGCCAACTTCTTGAAGGCACACCTTAAAGACTTATACTGAATTTTATGAGTTGGATGAGGATGTCTGACATCCCAAAGCAGTCTTAGCTGCTGATCCAGCACAGCTTTTAAAGACTTGGGTTCACAGGTAGAGCTAAGGGTGCAAACTTAGGGATATTTAAACAGGCAAAGGCACTGCCGTTGCCCCCATGGCTGACTGAGAATTGTATGATTTTTTCCTGTCCCAATTTGCCCGTGCCTCTTACCTAAATGTATTTCAAAGGTGATGCATGATGGCTAGTGTATGTGTACAGATGGATGTCTTTATTATTCTAACACTTGGAACTGGTTATTTATGATGTATGAAAAATGAAATGGAAGATCTCTGCCTGGAGGAATGAATCCAGGAAGAGATTTAATCCCCACAATAGTATGGTTCAGTTGAGTTGAAGAAAAAGATGAATTATTTCTGTAAATAGGGTGGAGGATTTTTTTTTAATGCTCTCCCTCCCTCACCCCACTATCAAGGTGAAACAACAGGAGAAAAATGCTGAACCAGGTGGGTGGAAACTGAGCTTCAGGAGACCCAAGCTGGGTGCCCACATGTCCTCTTTTACAAAAAGCAGTCCTCTGTTTGAAGGACTGTCAGAGGACCATTCGAAGATGACCTCTGTTTGACGGGCACAATTCTAGTTTAAAGGTAATGAAACACAAGAGCTGTTGCCCTTCGATACTTAGTGCACAGTGAGGAAACCTAAGGTGAAATGTGTTACATTTCTACTTAAAATATATTTATCTCTAATAAATTTGCTTTGGTGCATATCAATTAGCACATGCAAAACTTATGTAAATTCCTATCCCCTTGCTCCTCATTTTATTTGTGAGGCATTCGGAATTCCCAAGTGACCACCCTTTGAGGGAGTCCTGTGCACTGGTGGTACAGGCCTGCAGGCCCAGAATCCCACCCTATATCCCACATGGTCACATACAGTGTTTTGGCTGATAAGTCCCCCTCCTACACACACACTCACACACACACTCTGAATCAACCTGATTGTGTATTTGCACAGAAGTGACCTTCATGTGCCCATGTGTATGACTGTAACTTGAGGCTGCCATCCTATACATACTTATGCAGGAGTACGTCCCATACAGTTCAATGGAAGTTCTGTTTCAGTTGATATGCATAGGACTGGGCATATGCTTTTGATCTGCAGTGCTATCTTTCATTTCATGCAGGAGGGGAAAGGTAAAGAAATCATAACTGCATGGGACAGAATCATCCCTGGATCCCAGCCAGACCTACGGCACATGGTAGCAGCTGTGTTACTACTATACAAATATATGTTTTAAAAATGCATGTATGAGCAGACGCTCAGTCCTAGATATGAAAAACTTGAAGACTTCTTATGCAATTCCATCCTGCTCCCTGCATTAACCCATCCAATCTGCAGTTGCTTCAAGAACAGGATGCAGTAGTCCAAAGCATCTGGAGTGTTCCAGAGTGCCTACCCCTGATTTAGGATTAGCCGTTTCAGCCTCTGGGCTCACTTCTCTGCTCTGTGCTCATGTTGTGCAAAAACCCAAATACCCAAAGACCACTGTTTGGGTCTGCATTGTTCCTGCAAAGCCTGTCCTAAGCTCACTGGAAGAGAGAGAGAGAGAGACCAGAACCTGTTACCCAGAATGTGGGAAAACAACGTGCGAATGTTGTTGTAATTTATATACCAGTTTCTACAAAGGCAACAAAGCAGTGAACATAAAACAGAATGACATAAATGCAACAATAAATAAATAAACAAAACAAAACTACACAATGTGATACAGATTACAGTGATAAACTAGTGGTGTTATATCATTTGATATGTGTCTTTTACAGTGCAATCCTGTGTATGTTGACAGAAAAAGTCCTAGAATTTCCAGCATTCCACAGCCAGCATTGCTGGGGAGCATGGGACATGGAGGACTTTTTTCTGTTTAAACATGCATAGGACTGTGCTCTTATTCTTTTTGCAGCCTGACCTATGTGATGTAACTTAGGGCTGGCCCAAAATCAAGCAGTGGCCACTTTATGTATAAAACCCCCCATTCATTCAAGTGGGCAAAGCAAACAACATAGCGGGAATATCATTGGGTTTTCTCAGTTGCAAATGTAAGCCATCTGCCAGCATGAGTGAATCTATTTTTCCCTGTCATTTTATGTTGTGGTTTAAGGTATCATTTTCTTTCTTCCCCACTAGGCAGTTGACACCATGAATTGCATGCTAAAGTGTTTTGTCTGGGCTCAAAACAAGATGGAATTCAGGTATGTCAATTTTATTTTGAAAGGTAAAAAATGCTGTGGGTGAATAGCTGGATGTAGTAAGGCCTTTCTCTTTTCTCCCTCTTTCTCCCCACAGACTCAGACTGGGATTGGAATGCCTATTTGGATATCCATCCATCCATCCATCCATCCATCCATCCATCCGTCGAAACAGTCTGATGGGCAGATAGGATGGCCACTGAAATAGCAGAAAAAGAGGAAATCTACCTCTGAAAAACAGAATGAAAGAAATTTGCATGGTAATGCACATAAGCAAATACATATAAAGGTAAAGGTTTCCCCATGACATTAAAATCCAGTCATGTCTGACTCTAGGGGGTGGTGCTCATCTCCGTTTCCTAGCCGAGGGAACCAGTGTTTGTCCGCAGACAGTCTCCGTGGTCATGTGGCTGGCATGACTAAACAGTGAAGTGCACAGAACAGAATGCTGTTACCTTCCCACTGAAGTGGTACCTTTTTATCTACTTGCATTTGCATGCTTTCGAACTGCAAGGTTGGCAGGAGCTGGGACGTCTGCGGATTCGAACTGTTGACCTTTCAGTCAACCAGCTCAGCAGCTCAGCAGTTTAACCCACTGTGCATGCAAATTTAGAAATAATTGTTGTAATTTAAACTGGAATAACTGCTATAATTCAAACAGTATATCTCTTCATAGTGGGGAACTGTGACTGGTTGACCTGTGTGTGTGTTTGTTCCTCTGTCCAGAAGTTAAGTGTCAATAAGCTATTTCTAATCCCTGCCCTGCCCCTTTAGTGTTTTTTCCCTTTAACCCAGAGTTGGACTGGGCATCCTTTCAAACAGAAGACTCTCCTCTGTAGAGTGAGGCAGATGGCCACCTTGTACAGAAACTCAGGATGTGCCCTGACAGGTTTGGATCGGCCAAGCAGAATGCAGTTCAAACAGAAATACTGCTGCACAGGCTTCTTCCTCACTTTCTCTGCTTGCAATTTAACACCTACTAACTGGCCTGTGAAGGTAAAGCAGCGATCCCAGGTGTGCAGTTCATGGCAAATGTGGTGACCTCCTCCGAAGCTTGTGGCTAGGTCAGAAAAAACACAGGTGCATTCCTATAGTCTAAAAGCCGGTTGAGGTAGGAGTTGCTATCTTCTGCTTCTGATGTAATGTATCACCTACATTGATAGTCCTCTATAAATGATGATTCATCCAAAACAATAACGCCAACATCTCAAAAATAGTTCAACCTGCAGGAAACTCTTTCAGACAGACAGGAGTGACACTGAGCCAATATCAACTTCTGAAGCATATTCCTTGCTACTATTTTACAAGAGGGGAAAGCCTTAGTAACACGGGTTTGAAAAAGCTTTTTATAATGAATGCATGGATCCTATCTCGTGCAATGATTTTTGCTTTATGTTCAGTTGTGTAAAGAGTTTATCTGGAGGTTAGGTAAGAGGAAAGAACCTTTGGAACTTTTTAAATGTGGGTGGGGGGGACTTGGGAAAGGTGGGTGGTAAGGCAGCCATGTAAAAGTGTGACTCATTTGCACCTTCCACACTTGTGGCTCCTGCTCAGCAGCTGCTTCCTGTGCAGGCTGACAGAACGGTTTTACGCAAACGCTACATGACGGCTTACTTTTAAGCAAGGCTCTTTTTAAGATACTGCAAAGTATCTCTGGCCTTTTCTGGTCATTGCTTGTGAGCCTGGAGAAATGGTTCTCCCTGCTCCTGTGATTTTGGACTTTTAACCAAAGATTTACATCTGGAATCATGCAACTGAGCAAGGTAGACGGAGGACTGCTTCGTGCAATTCTGTGTAACTTGATGACAGCAGGGCCATGTGCCAACATGAGTGCCGAAGTGGGAAATTACCTCTGACTAGAATTGTTTGCTATTGCAAGTTACAATCCTTCTGAAGGCAGCGATTATGTCAAGTTTACTGTCCTTAGAAGATGCACTTTCCATGCATGGATGCATGAACCAGCTCTAGGCTGATTTTCCCCCCTCTCAACCTGATGTTGAAAAGGTGGTGCTCTCTTCCTCTGTCTCCCTTGGATCCAGGATATGATCAGTAAGAGCCCTGTTCAAGCACTCGGTATCTGTGCCCAGCAAACATGTGATGGAGTAGGAGGGAACATCTGGGTCCCACCCCTCCCCGATTGTCGTGCATGAAGCCCCGACAGAAACAGTGGCTCTTGAGGAGACCTTGCACTTGACACCCAGTGCCCAAGAGTCGACCCCACAACCCAAGGCAGAGACAGCTGAGCCAGCTGCTGCGTCTTCCTCTGACCCCCACCACGTTGAGCAAACGCCTGGACCTTTATCAGAGACGGAGAGTCATGAGAAAGGGGAAGCTGCAAGTTCTACTCAGAAGGAGGCAGAGCAAGCTGCCTCTTCCCCCTCTGATGCTGATCTCCCTGATCCGGAAACAGAAGACACAATAGGTGTCGTGGATTTCTCAAAAGCCAAAAACTTGGGAAGAGAAGCCATTAGAGAGTTAACATCTACTTAGCAAGGACCGCTATTAGGGAACTTACCTATAGAGTTGTAAATCTTGTGGACAATTAGCATTAAAGGACTTTAGTTTTATTGCTCTAGAATGTGTGGATTGTTTACATACCGGGCTGCACGCCTGGGCACCGATTGACGAAGTGCCCCAACCGCACTCCTCAGCAGCTGCCTGACTGGCTCCATCTGAAGGGCGAGTCTTCTGTGCACAACACCTTCAGCAGTTCATGGGTGCCCACTGTAGGTCTCCCCTAAGGGAGAAAGAAAAGGCTGCGGATGGTTTACATCAGAAGTTGAATTATTAACGAATCAGATGATCAGTACATCTAGTCCAGTACTGTCAACACAAACTGGCAGATGCTGTCCAAGGTTTCAAGCAAGAATTGTTCTGGTCTTGCCTGGAAACGCTGAAAGGCAGCCTAGAAAATTGTACATGCAAAGGATCTCCTCTGCTACCAAGTTACGCCCCTTCCCATAGTCACTAGGTAAGTGTCCCTCCAGCCTTTCAGAGGGGAAATAACACAGCTCTTGTAACAGGAATAAATGCCTGAGAACATGCACACACAGAGAGAGCCATTGAAAGGATTGCCTCTTACCAACAGTTCAGTTCTGCCTTTTACAGGGTCACCACCACTTGGGAAACCTGAATGCAAGGGAGAGGCTGGCGGGCTACACGGCTTCCTGACCAATTGCAGTGCTATCACTGCTGCACTGTGCACAGAATGGGAGACCCGTGACTGGCTGCTGAAGCAGCGCCTGTGAAATGCCCGAGTGCCACGAAGCAAGGAGAGCAGCCTGCCCCTTCCAAACTTTGTGATGCATTTTTACTATCCCCTTCATAATACATTCTCTGGGCAGTGGAGACAATTTAACATCGAGAACAATCGCATCTAAATAAAGGAAATGCAGTCATGCCCGAGGTATAAAAAGCACAAAAGCGTGTTCTTTTTAACCAGAAAGCCCTGAAAAGTAAAGCTGTTTTTATGTGAGGCTGAAAAGATCACATCACAGGCAGCAAGCGAGCCCTTTTGGAAAGAAAATCGCATGAGCAGGCACCCCTACTGGAAAGCACCTAAGCTTTGAAGACTGCATGAGGAGGATCTTGGCTTCTGCAAACACGTTCTCTTTGGGACCAAATTCCATTTCCATCTTTTCTGATTCTTCCTTGCCCCAACCTAGTTTTTGTACACAATCCTACTAGAGGCAAAATGCATATTCCCATTTCCAAAATTTAATTGCTAGACACCTGGAAAGGGGATGTGAAAGGTGAAAAGTGGCAGCTCCTCCAAAAGAAGTGTTAAAAAGTACATCCTAAATGTTAGGAAGTCAAGAAGCAACAGTGAGAACTGGACATGGAACCATTAATTGGTTCAAAATTGGGAAAGGAGTACAGCAAGGCTGCATACTGTCACCCTGCCTATTTAACTTAGATGCAGAGCACATCTAAGGCAGAGCTAGATGAATCACAAGTTGAAATTAAGATTGCCAGGAGAAATATTAACAACCTCAGATATGCAGATGATACCACTTTAATGGCAAAAAATGAAGAGGAACTAAAGAGCCTCTTGATGCGGGTGAAAGAGGAGAGCGCAAAAGTCAGCTTGAAACTCAACATTAAGAAAACTAAGATCATGGCATCCAGTCCTATCACTTCCAGGCAAATAGATGGGGAAGAAATGGAGGTAGTGACAGATGTTATTTTCCTGGGCTCCAAGATCCCTGCAGACAGTGACAGCAGCCAAGAAATTTAAACATTAAATTAAAGAAATTAAAAGACACTTGCTCCATGGGAGGAAAGCTATGGCAAATCTAGACAGCATATTAAAAACAAAAGACATCACCCTGACAACAAAAGTTCATATAGTGAAGGCTATGGTTTTCCCAGTTGCAATGTATGGCTGTGAAAACTGGACCATAAGGAAGGCTGAATGCCGAAGGATTGAGGCCTTTGAATTGTGGTGCTAGAAGACTCCTGCGAGTCCCTTGAACTGCAAGGAGAACAAACTGGTCAGTCCTAGAGGAGATAACCCTGACTGCTCTTTAGAAGGCCAGATACTGAAGATGACACTCAAATACTTTGGCCACCTAATGAGAAGGAAGGACTCCCTGGAGAAGAGCCTAATGCTGGGAACAATTGACGGCAGAAGAAGGGGACAGCCGAGGATGAGGTGGTTAGATGGAGTCACTGAAGCGTTGATGTGAGCTTAAGTGGACTCTGAGGGATGGTGGAGGACAGGAGAGCCTGGAGGAATGTTGTCCATGGGGTCGCGATGGGTCAGGCACAACTTCATGACTAACAACAAAATGTTCTCTCACCGATACAAACCTCCAAAAAGGCAAAATGGACAGCAGGTGCAAATAATCAGGCAACCTTTTGTAAAGAAGGTCCTTGGAAGCATTCACAAAATTTTATTGTATATAGGGGGAAAAGTCACAAAAGATACACACACACACACAAACACACGTATGTATGTATGTTCAAAACACTGAATGAACACTTCCTTCCATGAACAATGCAAAAAGAACAATTTCATGCTAGGAATGGTGACAAGGGCAAGCTCAAATCTTTTCTTCAATCCTGTGCAAGCCATGAGCAAATAAAGGATAGTCTTGTCACGTGTGTGTGTGTGTGTGTGTGTGTGTGTGTGTGTGTCAGAGTTTGGACTTTTTATCATCTGGAAATGCCCCAAGTTTCACTGTGTGTGTCAGACAAATGATAGGTTTTAAGGAATGCCATTTTGTACACAAATGTGTCCTGAAGGACAAACAGTACAGATTTTCAGCACACTTTGAAACCTAGTGGCTAAAAGATGAACAGTTTATTTTTGTTTATTGATTTGTTTATTATTGTGAATTTCAGTGGAACAAAACTGTTAACATAATAAAAATGAAACTATATAAATTTGCATTTAAATATAATTAGTAATCAGTAAGCTTACTGTATTTAGCCATGGGCCATTATACAAGGTAACAAGGTAAAACATCGAACTAACAAATAAAAACATAAATATATCAAAACATAATACTAAAAGAAAGACCAGGCATAATTCAGGACAGTGTCCCATTCAAAGCCTCCCTAACTGCAGAGCAGAAAGAGAAACTTGATAAGAGACATGTGCATCAGCAACTGATAAGAACACTATTTTCTTAGAACTGGAGTAAGCATTAAAGGTGGGTAGCATATTAGTCTTTTTTTTTTCTCTAGGTTCACCATATAAAGAACAGTAAGAATATAGTGCAAGAGGTTCTCCATCTCAGGTGATCCACAGATAAAGACATGCTGCTCCATCTGAATATGAGAATAGCGATCGGATAGGAGGGCTGTATGCATGGTTTGGAACTGAAGGGATGTAAAGACCACCCTAAGGCTGTAATTAGGAATGGTAACTAAATAATTGGATCTTAAGTGATCATATTTAATTAGTTTAAACCAAGGAGCAGCCTTGGAACACAGAGTCGAAAATCAGTCAATTAGGACATCTGAACAATATATCCAGTCCCTAAGATGGGAATTATCAGCTGTAACCCCTAGAAGGTTGTTGGGAAAGAGATATCAGTGATGGAGTTAAGGAACCTGAGTCCTTTGGGGTCTTTTGATAATAGCAGATTGAATTATTTATGCCCTAAAGAATTGAGGCTGAAGGAGCTGTTCCTGTTCCAATGCTTTATTATGGCAAGGTGAGCACGAGCCCTAAGACAAGGGACCTCCATTTCTGCTCTTAACAGAGCAGCCAGGGTACCCCTAGGTAGGGCAAGTATATGCCTCACAAAAGCATTTTGAATTACCTCCAAATGAGAGAGTATATCCTCATTCCATCCCCATACTTTAATGCCATATAAGAGATAAATAACTTCTATGCAGGATCTATCAAATGTTTAGTGTAAAAAAGTGTGAGATAGACCCTACAATCATAAGAGCTGAGGTTTTAACTGTTTCAAGGTGAAACTTCCAGTTTAAAGTGTCCCTAAAAATGACCCCCAGATATTTAAAAAGAATGACATTGCTTAATTGGGTTACCAAAGATGCTCCAAGATGAATTCTGGGTTTTTTCCTGAAGACCATTACTTTGGTCTTAGCATAATTTATGTTAAGTTCTTCTTCTGTACCGTACTGTCCTAATAGCTGATTTGCCAGATTTCAGGGAGGCACTTGGACCTCTGATTTCGGCAACTGAAACTGGCAACCATTCCAGTGTCCCCCTGGGTGACGAAAATGCTTCCTGTGGCTGCTGAGACCATAAAACACTACTAAAATAAGAAAACCAAACATGGCCTGGTATATATGAATCAACCTTGGCAATAAGGACTATTCTTATGGTTAGTGACCAGTTCCCAAAAACGTGAATCGTTTTGTTTTGTTTTGTTTTGTTTTGTTTTGTTTTGTTTTGTTTTGTTTTGTTTGGAAACTGCTTGATCTAGTTCTTGCCAAAGAAACTTAGCATGTTCCAGTTTCTCTTGCTTAATTAAGTTCTTATACTGGGACCTAAGTAGCAAAAGATTAGACAACCCACCTTCCCTACTGTGCCTAACTTGACTCATGTGTCATAGCAGTTCTTTTTAAAGATTTTACAGTCATGATCAAACCATCCATTTTGAGCATGAGTTATCAATTTCTCTGTAAGAAGAGACTTAAGATGGTGATTAATCTCATTGAAAATTTGCATAACATCAGAATTGTGTTACAGGAGAGAATCTCTCAGGCAGCTCAATTCCTGACCTGACAAAGTATAAGCTAAAATAGAATGTATTCTGTCGGAGCATTTAAGTCTCCTTAAATTGGGAGTAAGGTCCTCATCATAAGTTATTCTCTACAGCCTGGATGTCTGTGTTTAGGTCCACTGATACCAATGTAGCCAAGCCTGAACTTCCTTGTCCCTTTGAATGAGTTTTGATGACAGGGACAAAATAAGCCCTGAACCCCTGAATATCCAAAGGGTTGGGGTTCATGAGCCACATTTCTTGAAGGCATATCAAAGCTATATGCCTTCAAGAAATGCTATAAAGTCGGAGTCATAAAGCTTATTATGCCAACCCCCCAGGTTCCAAGAAAGGAACTCAGGACTCAGGTTGTCAGTCTGTGCTTGTTAACTTATTTTGGAGTCTCCAAAAGAGGAATCATATTTTGTGGGATCCTCTCCCACTCTGCCATTAGCTGCAGGGATGGAGAGAGGTGTATTCCATCCTGCCTTCCCTTGAGTAGAAGTGAAGGAAGTGACTTCTGAGTGTCTTATATTTGCCCTCTGTGGAATAAGAGGAGTCAGAAGTGAAGTAGTGTCAGGAAAATTCTCAGGTGAAGAAGACCGACCAGGTAACTTGGAGTTATTTTCTTGTAGGAATGCTTGGTTAGAAAGTTCACTATGTTTATACTGATTTTCTTCAGGATTAAT